TGCGGCCTCCGCCTGGGCGCAGGGAGGACCCCGGGCGGCTCCCAGTCGGGTGGGAGGGACGCGCCCCGCCGCGGCCATCTGCTGGTGGCTGTGTGTGGAGGGAAAGCGGGCCGTGGGCTCCCGGCCCCCCTCGGACCGGGTGCCGAGTCTGGAGCCTCCCAGAGGCTTAGCGCCGGTGTAGGAGGGGATGGGGCCGGGCTGAAACTTGGAGAACTCCAGGTGGAAGAACAGTGCCGGTGATTGGCCCGGTACGCGGGTGCCTGGCGCTGATGCCCGTCTGAGCGCTCCGCTCCCGGGTAGGAGAACAGCCTGGCAGTGACATCAACAGCCGTGGAGACAGGGTGCTGGCTCTGTGCTCAGTGTGCCAGGCCCTGCTCAGCCCTTTGTGATCATGATCTCACTTTTTTCTCCCAGCAGCCCACTGAGGTTGCTGTGGCTCCCATCTGCAGAGCAGAATCAGGCCCAGAGAAGTTGAGTGCTGGTCTGTCAGCACAGAGAGACTTACACTCAGGCTGTCAAATCCCAACAGTAAGCCAAGTGCTTGGTGACTCACACCTGTCATCCTAGCTACTCAGGAGGCTGAGATCTGAGGATCACAGTTCAAAGCCAGCCCAGAAAGGAAAGTCCGTGAGACTCTTATCTCCAAATAACCACTAGAAAACCGAAAGTGGTGCTGTAGCTCCAAGTGGTCGAGTACTATCCTTGAGCAAAAAGGCCCTGAGTATGGTCAAACTAGGGCTAAGCCCTCAATACCTAGAGGAGAGATTGAGTCTTCCCCTCACTATCTTGCTGTTTATCAGTTCAGCTACCAATATTCAAGAAGATCTGCTTTCCTCTTTGCCTTTACCTGGACTGTGTCCCATCTGCTGGACCACACACACTTTCTGAAGTCTCTTAAGGAGTTTCCTGTCTCTGCACCCTCACTCAGCATCTGCTCCTTTCCGCTTTCATCTATCCAAGTATAGGTCTTAGTGCACCATCAGTCATGAACATCTGTCTTTCCCTTCAGAGAGGCAATTCTCCAAAGCAAAGATTGCACAGTGCTCCTCTCTCTGTCCTGCGTGCAGCAGGCTTACCATCAGTGTACTGGTCTCAGAGGGAGAACTTCTCCTCCAAGAACATGTGGAAGGCAATAAGAAGGCCATACCATCTGTGGAAGAGGGCTGCTATGCTGTGAGGGGCTTTGAACTGGGTGCTGGGCAGGAGCATCAGAGCAGGCTTGGAGGCTGATCCTGTGGAGGTCATGGTGGGGAGGGAAGGCCTATGACACAGAGATTGCAAGCAGAGGCCAAGTGAGAGGCCTGAGGGTTAGGGTGACTGTGACCAACAGGTAAGGAAGGATAGGTGAAGAAGCTAGCTGTGCCAGGCACTGGTGGCTCACGCCTGTAATCCTAGTTACTCAGAAGGCTGAGATCTGAGGACCACGGTTCAAAGCCAGCCCAGGCAGGAAAGTCTATGAGACTCTTATCTCCAATAAACCACCAGAAAACCGGAACTGGGGCTGTGGCTCAAGTGGTAGAGTGCTAGACTTGAGCTGAAGAGCTGAGGGACAGCGCCCAGGCCCAGAGTTCAAGCCCTATGACTGACAAAAAAAGCTAGCTATGATAGATGCTCACTGCTGAAGCCATACAAGGGGTAGACACTTCCGGCCTCTGAGTAGGACAGGGTAGAAGACAGAAGCTCAAGGTGTCTGTTTACCTTTTTTTTTTTCTGGTCATGGGTCTTCAACTCTGGGCCTGGGCGCTGTCCCTCAGCTCTTCAGTTCAAGGCTAGCGCTCTACTACTTGAGCCACAGCGTCACTTCTTGCTTTTTCTGCTTATGTGGTGCTGAGGAATTGAACCCAGGGCCTCATGAGTGCAAGGCAAGCATTCTACCACTGAGCCACCTTCCCAGCCCCTCCATTTACCTTGAATGATATGAATGAGTGATTCCTGAGCTAACCACTTCAAAGGGATAGGGGACCATGGAGCCCCTAAACCATTGCCTTCTGGGATTAGAGCTGAATAGCTGCTGGCTGACCACCCAGGCTCATGGCATCCTTTAGAAGGACTCATCCATCCCTTTGGGGAACAAAGCTTAGTCCCTAGTCATGAGTTGAATGCAGAGCTAGGTGGCAGGGCACAGGTGGAGGTACAGGGGACCAAAAACACCTGAAGCAGGAGCATTGTTTGGGGCCATTTGCTCTTGCTTTGTCACTGGATTGCTCTTTAAACGTGGGCCAGTCATTGGCTCTCCTAGGAGATGGAGTGAGCCATGCTACTTCGTAGGCTGCTGTAAGGGTTGTAATGAACTTTCGCATGTGAAAGGCTCTGAGAAGTGATTGTGTCTTCATGTCTGAGCAGCAAGCGTGTAAATACTTGTAGGCACAAATATGACCAGAGCTGCTGAGGGAGGAAAGGACCTCTCACGTATTGGCAGGCCTAGGACATCAGGATAGGGACTCAGAATATTTTAGGTTGAGGAGTGAGTGGGAAGATCATCTTTGTTTTTGGCCTGAATCGGAACATTCCGCCTGGAACTGCTGGGTGCTGAGCGTCTGTATCAACTCCCTAGGTTGAGTCTATGGTCTGGCCTGAGGGAGCATCCTGGTTGCTAGTGGTTACCAGCTAGGTACCTCAGTAGTGAAGGCCTAGAGAAGGTAAATGCTGGGCTGTGTGGTCTCTTGTGACTTGGAGGATGCTCATCGCTGGCTCACTGCAGGCACCTTACCTACTGAGTCAGGAGAACTTAATGTGTCTGTTCTGGCCTGTACCTGGGATCAGCGCAAGGACCAGAACAATTACCCTTGTGGAGCCCTCGGTAGTGGCCAGCTAACTGAATACTGAATGCAGTACGGCAGTACTGTGGTGTCTTTGGAAGCAGCACAGATATGTGACCTGGCTAGACGGGTTGGTGGGCCCTGCTGAAACTGGTGAGGAGGGGCTGGATTCCCAGCATCTGAGAATAAGGCCTTCTACCCTGTGGCTTGACCTCTCTCAGTCCTACTGGTGATGAGCTGGCCGCATTCTTGGGTCCCATCTGCTGTCCCCACCCATGGAGCAGGTTGGGGCTGTTTGGCATGCCTCCGTTGCCTCCCATCCTCCCCCTGGGCATATGAAGGGGTCTAGGTCTTTGGATCAGAGTTGTGTAGTCTGACTTTGGGGTGGGGATGGGTCAGGGAAGACAACTAAAGAAGGAGCAGGCCCTTGTACGTGTTCTCTGCTGACCCGGGCCAGTATGCCCACACATTGAGGTCTGGTGGGCAGGGCAGCAGGAAGGTGTCATTCCCCTTTATTGCTTTTCCTCTTCCTAAAGATGGGCTCATCCTGGGCAACAGATGGCTGATGTTATCCAGTGTGGATGGAGGTAGTGTGCTGGGTGTAGAGGAGGCTGCAGTCCTGTCTGCCTTCCCACAGTGCACACTGGCCCCCCTGGCCCTCCAGGCATCAGCCTGGCGCTGGTGATGGGGTCCTGCCCGCAGGCGACAGTGAGCCGGCTGTGTTCTGCCAAGCTTGCCATCCTGGGATGGCTGCTGGAGGACTCAGAGGACAAGAGCTCCGGTGTGGCCCTCAGGTGCCTCCCCTGCCTCTGTGCGTCATGAGCGGGAGGCCCCTGTGCTTCAGCAGACCCTGCTTCCTCAGAAAGGGCAAGTAACTCGACAGTGCCCATTACCTTTGTGGCCACCGAAGATGTGGCAGGCAGGCTCCTCCCTCTCCACCTCCCCCACTCCGTGCTGGCCAGCGGCCACGCTGTAGGCTGGGGGGGGGGGTCCTAGAGAAGGAGAGCTGTAGGGTCTCTTCATGATGTACCTTTCTTGGAGGACTTGCTGTATTCTGTCATGCCTTGGGGCTCCGGAAGCTGCTGTGCACTTCTGACTGAGGAACCTGTTCATTTGTGGGGCGTGAGTAGGGCTGGGTGTGGAGAGGATGGTCATGTAGCTGGCTCTAGGCATTCAGCAAGTCCTAATTAGGCTGTGGTCTGTGCCATGCACTGGGGCTTGCTGACTGGCTGAGCCTGTGACAGGTGTACCACTTGTCCCAGAGTTATGCTGGAAGGAGGGAGGGTCTTAGGGCCCTGTTGCCCCAGACTCAATCAGAGGCTTCCCAGAGGAGGGGACACCCGTCTGGAGACCTGATGGTCAAGTCTGGGGCAGGCACGGGGAAGGAGCTGGCCAGTGGAAAACTCAGGAGAGGGACTCTTCTGAGAGTTGGGCCCCAAGAGGACGTTGAGGCCGAGTGTGAAGTTGGAGGTGGCATTTCACATAAGTGGTATTGGGGAGAGCAGCGGTGGATGGTGGCTGTCCTCTCTCTGCCCACTCCCTCAAGGGGGAGAGGTGGGGTCCTGCTGGTCATGTGGGGGGCCGGGTCCTACCTGGTTTTAGGGGGAGGCTGCCGAGTGGGGTAGAAGCTGCCGTCCATGTCTCGCACCCTCCTCCCTCCCCTGCCTGCTGCCTCGTGGCAGGAGCTGGGCGAGCCCCGGGTGCCAGCCAGGGCCGGGCGAGCCCCGGGTGCCAGCCAGGGCCGGGCCCAGCCCAACCAGCCCTTGGTGAGGTGGGTGGGGGGAGGAGCCACAACTCAGGGACTGTGTGCCTGGGAGCTGCCCAGGCCTGTTGGGGTGGCCTTTGTGAATAGGACCCGGGAAACCTCGTGGGGGTTTATCTCGATGGTGCAAGTGCATGGGTTGGCTGTAAGTGCGCATGCTACCAGGACACCTGCTGCCTCCTGCCTGTCACCTGCAGAGTGTCAGTGGTGGAGGGGGCTGGGGAGCAGGAAGGTGAGTCAGAATCGCTCCTCAGCAGCCTCCACCTCCAGCTTAGCAGAACCCTGCTCAGTGTTCACATCTCTGGCATGGCCTCTGTGACTCTGGAGGGGATTGTGGCCGAGCTCCTCTGCTTTTAGGAGGTGTGGGGGAATGTGTGCTGTTGGGCTGCTGGCAGGTTGACCAGGCTGGTGGGTGTGGGCCTGCCTGGATGCACAGGTAGCACACTGCACTGCGCTTTCTGGGACTCAGGTCCGTGAGACTTTGTGCTAAGCATCTTCACAGGACTGTCCTGCTTCTTCTAGGGGTGAGGCAGCAGGGTTGAGTCTACTCCAAGCTGAACACAGGATTTGTGCTTTGGGGACTTTGGAATTGTCAGTGTGTGTGTGTGAAAGTGAAGAGGCCTCCTCCTTTCCCGCCATAATCTAGTCCATTGTCCATGAGTCCTGGAATGCAGCTGGTACTGGCAGAGGCTGGTCCTGAACACACCCCCACACCATTGTGGCTTTCATTTTGCCTTCTGGTTTGGCTCTGTAGAGATGGGTTCCAGACCACCTGTGTATACTTGACCTGAAGTTGGTCCTGGGTGTGGTAGTGGGTGTGTGGGGTATAGACAGTGATCAGGTCCTGGTGTGGCTGTGGGGGTATAGACAGTGATCAGGTCCTGGGTGTGGTAGAGAGAGGTGTAGACAGTGATCAGGTCCTGGGTGTGGTAGTGGGTAATATAGACAGTGATCAGGTCCTGAGTGTGGTAGTGTGTGTGTGTGTGTGTGGGGTAATAGACAGTGATCCTGGGTGTGGTAGTGGGTGTATAGACTGGGAATTTAGGAGCTCTGGGGTCCAAGTTACATACTCCTGGGAAATGTTTTCTTCTGAGACCTGTGCTGAGGGAGAGACTGTTCGATATGGTGGTGATAGATCACAGTTGGTAGCAGAGAGTCTGAATTCCACACAGATAACAGGTGTGTGTCCTTTGCGCTGGTCATGTAGGCCTAGCGTAGGCCGACACAGGGGAGCTTCAGGCTACTCAGATATGTCCTGTGCACCACCAGATAGTGCACGTGGCACCCACCGTTCACACAGTCGCCAGTAGTTACAGGGGCTTGGTCTTTAAGTTGGGAGTCAGCCAAAAGGGGTGGATATTGTGTACCCTGTGGAACAGTTGGAACTGCTGTGGGACCTCCATGGCTGGTCCTTGTGCTGTGAGAGGTCTGGCTAGCCAGCAGGTGGGAGTAAACAGTTCTCCGTGGTGTGGACACAGTGGGGTCAGGCTTGGGATAGGAGGCGGGAGCATCAGGGCTTACAGAGCTTTGAGGGCTTTTCCCCCTGCCCCGTGGTGGTCCCTCGCTCTGTGGTTGCCTAGCTATTTATTTGTCTACTCAGAACTACTTTAGAGAATCGGTAGATGTGGGAGCTGAGGCTGTCTGGTGCTGGTTAGAGGAAGACCTTTCCACTCCGGGTTGTGTGGCCTTCAGCCCTGGCAAGGTGGGAGTGAGTGGGAGGTAGAAGGGTGCTCTGACGGACGGTCTGCTCTTGTCCTCAGGGAGCGTGGAAGGCCAGGGCCAGATTCTGCAGCGCTTCCCAGAGAAGGACTGGGAGGACAACCCTTTCCCACAGGGCATTGAGCTGGTGAGTAGAGGAGGCAGACCTAGCCCCAGCGTAGTGCCAGTGCAACTGCAGGCAGGCCCCCTGCAGGTGATGGCTGGCCTAACAGGCGCCTGCCTCACCGTTTCATGCCGTTACGTGTCACAGTGATGGGCACCCGGTCCCTCCCGGCCCTCACCCTTTCATCTAGAGTCTGAGGCTGGGAGGTGAGCTGTTCTCAGCTGGCTAAGTGAGGCGCTCCAGGCCGGCTCTGGAGTGCAGCTGATGGGGGCAGGCGGGCTGCTGCCGCTGGCTGCGCGGGCCTCGGCAGCTGACCGCTGACCCTCCCTGCAGTTCTGCCAGCCTAGTGGGTGGCAGTTATGTCCTGAGAGGAATCCACCAACCTTCTTTGTTGCTGTCCTCACTGATATCAACTCCGAGCGGCACTACTGCGCCTGCTTGACCTTCTGGGAGCCAGCAGAGCCTACGCAGGTCAGTGAGAGATTTGGGCTACAGCATGGGCCATGGGCAGCTGGTGGGCCAGGTCTACCTCGGTCACCTTTGCCCTCTCCTTTGGCTCTTGGAATAGCCTGGCAAGAGTCAGGAGACTGGGCTTCTGTCCTCAGGAAGCGGTGTGCACTGCAAATGCTGTGGAGAGGGAGGAGGAGGCCGACGAGGGAGGCCAGGTGCGGTTGTCACCTACAGCCCCGGCCCCGCCTGGCCAGCTCTTTGCTCCTAAGACTCTAGTGCTGGTGTCACGGCTGGACCACACGGAAGTGTTCAGGGTGAGATGGCCTGCCGTGGTATCGGTGTGGGACACGGGTGCTCCCGCCTGGTGTACCACTGTGCTCTGCTTGACCTTGCAGAATAGCCTCGGTCTCATCTACGCCATCCACGTGGAAGGCCTGAATGTGTGCTTGGAGAACGTTATCGGGAACCTGTTGACATGCACTGTGCCCTTGGCTGGAGGCTCACAGGTGGGTATCGGGACTCTGGTGCAGGCCTGGCACTTGTAGTCTCGCCAGCTGAGCATGGCTGTTCTCTGTGTCATCGTTGTCACCTGTTCTTGACCCTGCTGCTCACCTGGCTGCTGTACCTGTGCCTTTGTGCCTAGCGTCTTTCAGTCTTGTCAGTCCCCTGGACCCTTGGTTGTGTGTCTGTCTCTGGATGTGGGTGTCAGTTATCTGTCTGCTCCCTGCTCTGTGCCTGTGTGCTGACGGTGTCTAACTGTGTCTCTCTGCCTGTCTGTCCTGTGCAGCCGGACTCTGTTGAGGAAGGAGCGGTATGGACTCTTTGTTTCTTCTGCCTACCCAGGCCTTGCCCCCACCCACCCAGGTCAGAGGCAGCTGCCCCTGCCTTGTTTTCTCTGCAGCAGTGCTCAGCCTGCAGCTGGGTGTGGCCTTTCCCTCTAGTCACCCTGCCAGTGCACCTTGAGGTCTGTCAGCCTACCGAGACCCACCTGGGCCGAGAGCTCTGGGCTGACTTGAATTTGTGCAGGCTGCTAAGCCTGGGCCAATTTATTTCCACAGAGAACCATTTCATTGGGTGCTGGTGACCGGCAAGTCATCCAGACCCCCCTGGCAGACTCTCTGCCTGTCAGTCGCTGCAGTGTGGCCCTGCTCTTCCGCCAGCTAGGTGAGCGTGCCTGTTTCCTGGCTCCCCGGCTTCCTGTCCTCGGGCGGGTGTTCAGGGATGGATTCTTGCTGTGTGCCCAGGGCAGGGACTTAGGGCTCACATCAAGCCTGTCCTCTTCAGGCATCACCAACGTGCTGTCTTTATTCTGTGCTGCCCTCACGGAACACAAAGTCCTTTTCCTGTCCCGGAGCTACCAACGGCTTGCAGATGCTTGCAGGGGTCTTCTGGCACTGCTGTTCCCTCTCAGATACAGGTACCCCTCTGCCCAGACCCTCCACTCAGCCTCTCTCGACTCTCCAACCAGCCCTGTCTTCTGGGGCTCACTGTGTCCTCTGGACTTGCTGTAGCTTCACCTATGTACCCATCTTGCCGGCGCAGCTGCTGGAGGTCCTCAGCACACCCACACCCTTCATCATTGGAGTCAATGCAGCCTTCCAGGCAGAGACCCAGGAGCTGGTAAGGGCTGTGGCTTGTGTGGCTTTTTTTTTTTGGGTCCGGTCGTGGGGCCTGAACTCTGGGCCTGGGCGCTTGCTGTCCCTCAGCTCTTCAGCTCAAGGCTAGCACTCTACCACTTGAGCCACAGCACCACTTCCGGCTTTTTTCAGTTTGCTTATGTGGTGCTGAGGAATCGAACCCAGGGCCTCGAGCATGCAAGGCAATTGTGTCTGTCTTGATGCCCAGGCCCTTCTGGTCCCTCACCAATTGCTCCTTTTGGTTCACAGCTGGATGTGATCATTGCTGATCTTGATGGAGGGACGGTGACTGTCCCCGAGTGTGTGCACATTCCACCCCTTCCGGAGCCGCTGCAGAGCCAGACCCACAGTGCTCTGAGCATGGTGAGGGTGGGAAACTGGGGGAAGCGGGGTGCTGGGGTCTGTGGGAGTGAGTCATTTCCCAGCAAGGGCACCCATAGCCGAAGGCTGATTGTACAACTGTCTGTTCCCCTCTGTTTCTTGAGGTCCTGGACCCAGAGCTGGAGTTGGCCGACCTTGCCTTCCCCCCTGCCACCACATCGACTTCCTCCCTGAAGATGCAGGTGGGGGTTGTTGCTGCTTTGATACGGGACCTCCGTGCCTCTACCTCCCCAGGCTGCCCCACTGCCCATCACTCAGGGCTACCTCCGCTGGTGGCTGGGCTGTGGCCCCACCTCCAGGCCTGCCTCAGGCAGGAGGGATCCTGCGCACAAAGGGGCTTCAGGCAGTTAGGTGTGGTGTTTGTGCAGTGAGCACATGCCAGTCTTTAGGGCTCTTGTTAAGGAGCTGAGGCTTGGCATCGGTGAGGAGGCCTCTGGGGGTACCAAACAGGAGCCACTTGGTCACGTGGAGCACTGTGGAGGGCCACTGGTGCCAGCAGAAGTACACAGGACCCCTCCCCAAACTTTGGGTGGGAGTAGGGAGGAGCACCCCGGGCCCTAGGGGGGGCTGGTGGGCCAGGCGCTCACCGGCCTGCTGTGTTCCCAGGACAAGGAGCTTCGTGCTGTTTTTCTTCGGCTCTTTGCTCAGCTGCTGCAGGGTTACCGGTGGTGCCTGCACATTGTCCGCATCCACCCAGAGCCGGTCATTCGCTTCCACAAGGTGGGCCTCTTGGTGGGGCGGGTGGGGTGGAAGATGAGTGCTCCTTGGACCCCTGATTTCCTTGTGTTCTCCCAGGCCGCCTTCCTGGGCCAGCGCGGGCTGGTGGAGGATGATTTCCTGACGAAGGTACTGGAGGGCATGGCCTTTGCAGGCTTTGTGTCAGAGCGCGGGGTCCCCTACCGCCCCACAGACCTGTTCGATGAGGTGGGTCTTCTTGCCCCTGCCTGTCCACCCGACTCCTCCCCCGCCCGCCCACCCGCTCTTCCTCACTCTGCCTCCTCTCCCGCCAGCTGGTGGCCCACGAGGTGGCACGGATGCGTGCAGATGAGAACCACCCCCAGCGTGTTCTGCGTCACGTCCAGGAACTGGCAGAGCAGCTCTATAAGAATGTATGGTGGGTAGCGTGAGGGGAGGGAATGGCCCCAGCTTCTCCCGGGCCCGTCAGCCGCCATCTGCCTGTGTTGCCCCAGGAGAACCCATACCCAGCGGTGGCGATGCACAAGGTGCAAAGGCCAGGCGAGGCTAGTCACCTGCGACGGGCACCCCGGCCCTTCCCCCGTCTGGATGAGGGTACTGTGCAGTGGATTGTGGACCAAGCTGCAGCCAAGATGCAGGGTGCACCCCCAGCTGTGAAGACGGAGAGGAAGACCACTGTGCCCTCTGGGCCTCCCATGAGTGCGTAAGGAGGAGCCTGACCTAGCGTGGGTGTGGGGTCAGGAGTTGGGAGTCAGGCCAAGCATGTCCTGTCTCTCCTCAGCGGCCATACTAGAGCGGTGCAGCGGGCCACATGTCAACAGCGCCCGCCGGCTGGAGGTGGTTCGGAACTGCATCTCCTATGTGTTTGAGGGGAAGATGCTTGAGGCTAAGAAGGTGAGACTTGGGGCTGGGAAGGTGGCTTAGTGGTAGAGCGCTTGCCTTGCATGCCTGAGGCCCTGGGTCCCATTCCCCAGCACCACATAAGCAAAAAGAAAAAAGCTGGAAGTGGCGCTGTGACTAAAGTGGTAGAGCACTAGCCTTGAGTGAAGAGCTGAGGGACAGCGCCCAGACCCAGAGTTCAGGCCCCACGACTGGACCCCCCCCAAAAAAAAAAAAAAGGTGAGACTTGCTGTGTGGGACCTCAGACCTGGGGTCCACAGCAGCTCTCAGAAGAGGCTCAGGCCCTACTGCTGAGCCTTTGCCAGGGCTCTGCTCACCTGTGGATGGCTGAAGTCGGCTGGTGTAGGTGGGCGCCAGGTCTTTTCTCCTTCATCTTAGCGCGCAGCGGTCTCTTCTCCTCTCCTTAGTGGACTGCAGGCCTTCTGGGAAAGCCCAGCGGTGGAGATGTTCACATCGATTTTTAGAAATTAGAAGACCCTAGGGCTGGGAAGGTGGCTCAGTGGAAGAGTGCTTGCCTAGCATGCATGAAGCCCTGGGTTCAATTCTCAGTACCACACAAGTGGTACTGAGCCCAAGTGGCAGAGCACTACCCTTGAGCAAAAGAAGCTCAGAGACAGTGCCTAGGCCCTGAGTTCAGTCCCTAGGACTGGAGAGGGAGGGAGGGAGGGAGGGAGGGAACGGGAACCTGAAGATTTCTTTCAGCTATCAACTTTTTGTTTTCTGTGTCTTCTAAAAAAAGAACAGATCCATATGTGTAGTGGTTCTTTGGCTTTATTTGTTGAGTTTATAGAAAACAACGCTCTGTTCTTCCTTCATGACAGCAGTGTTCATCGCTGTGTGACACCCCTGTGGGGTTCCCACGGCTTCCAAGCCCTCCTGTGTGACTTCGCCACATGACACCTGCACTACTTAAGCCCATGCTTTTCAGATTGAGTCCCAGCAGGCCTAGAAGGCCTCTCTCCAGAACACATTGCACACCGGCTTGGGAGTGGGCAGTACTAGCAGCTTGTGTCCTTGTCCTCATTAACTGTCACCTGTGGAATTGCTTTAGTCTGTAAAACCCAGCCCTTGGGCACACCCTGACCTGTATAGCTTTTAGGTCTCCTTCGTGCCTGGAGTTGAGGTTAAGGCTGGGGTGTCACGGGCACCTGCTATACCCCCCTTCAACACCGGTGGGGACCTCACTGTGCCCCCTTGCCTCTCGCGCAGCTGCTCCCCGCGGTGCTCAGGGCCCTGAAGGGGCGTGCCGCCCGCCGCTGCCTTGCCCAGGAGCTCCACCTGCACGTGCAGCAGAACCGAGCGGTCTTGGACCACCAGCAGTTCGACTTCGTCGTCCGCATGATGAACTGCTGCCTGCAGGTGATGCCAGCCCCCTCCTGCCTGTGACAGCAGGTGTGAGCGGGGTGGGCAGGCTGTTCTGGTCACCCTCAGGCCGTGACAGTCGGAAGAGATGCTCGTCTTGAGGCGAGAGTAGATGGCTATGAGGGATCTCTGCTGTGGGACGGGGGTTGGTGGTCTGTAGAGAAAGGCAGAGAGTGGGGGAGTCTGGCTGACCTTGAAACCTGAGGCAGCTGTGAGGAGCTGAGCCAGAGGGTTCTGGGTGATGGGGCCTGAGATGCTGGTCTGAGGTGGCTGTGGAGACCGGGTTGGAGTGGGTGCTCTGCGAGGGGCGTGCCCGCGTCTGACGGCCTTGCTCACAGGACTGTACCTCTCTGGATGAGCATGGCATCGCCGCTGCCCTGCTGCCCCTTGTCACGGCCTTCTGCCGGGTGAGTGCGAGGAGGGCTCCGGGCCGCCCTCTGCCCGCTTCCTGGGGGCACGCCCATGACCTCTCCAACCCCCTTCTGCAGAAGCTGAGCCCAGGGGTGACACAGTTTGCATATAGCTGTGTGCAGGAGCACGTAGTATGGAGTACACCCCAGTTCTGGGAAGCCATGTTCTATGGGGACGTGCAGACCCACATCCGGGCCCTCTACCTGGAGAGCTCCGAGGGCTCAGTGAGCCCCTCCCAGGTGAGCAGGGCGCCCTGCGTCTGAGTGGGGAGCCCACCTGATGCGGGAGAGAGCTAGCTCGGGGCTGATGTGCTTGCTGCTCTGGGAGGGGGCACCATCACCCCAGCTTCCCCACCGTGGTGTCCTGGCAGGAGGTTGGTGAAGTGCAGTCTCAGGAGGACGAGCGCTCTGCCTTGGATGTGGCTTCAGAGCAGCGGCGCCTGTGGCCAACTCTGAGCCGTGAGAAGCAACAGGAACTGGTGCAGAAGGAGGAGAGTACGGTGTTCAGTCAGGCCATCCACTATGCCAACCGCATGAGCTACCTCTTGCTGCCTCTGGACAGCAGTAAAAGCCGCCTTCTTCGGGAACGCGCAGGGCTAGGCGACCTGGAGAGCGCCAGCAACAGCCTCGTCACCAACAGGTGGGCGGGACTTGGGTTGGGGTCTGGGGGGGGCAGGGCTGGTGCCCACACACACCCTTCTGTTGCAGCATGGCAGGTAGCATGGCTGAGAGCTATGATACAGAAAGTGGTTTTGAAGACGCAGAAACCTGTGATGTGGCTGGGACCGTGGTTCGTTTCATCAACCGCTTTGTGGACAAGGTCTGCACAGAGAGTGGGGTCACCAGCGACCACCTCAAAGGGCTGCATGTCATGGTGCCAGGTACGGAGGCTCTAGGCCTGGAAGCATTTTTGCGAACGGGTGGCTGTGGGGGTCCAGGGTGTGAAACCTACTCTCCCCAGACATTGTCCAGATGCACATCGAGACCCTGGAGGCTGTGCACCGTGAGAGTAAGAGGTTGCCCCCTATCCAGAAGGTAAGCAGCGATGGTGGATGGGCGGTGGGTGCCAGGGGTCTGGGCTGGGTCCTGAGAGGCCCCTCCTGTCTCTGAGCAGCCCAAGCTGCTGCGGCCACGCCTGTTGCCTGGTGAGGAGTGTGTCTTGGATGGACTGCGAGTCTACCTGCTGCCGGATGGGCGTGAGGAGGGGGCCGGGGGCAGCGGCGGGGGGCCTGCGCTGCTGCCAGCCGAAGGCGCTGTGTTCCTCACCACATACCGGGTCATCTTCACGGGGATGCCCACTGACCCCTTAGGTGAGCCTTCCAGCTCTCTTCCCTCCCCTCCGCCAGATGGTTCGGGGCGGTAGGATTCCCCTGCCTTTTCTTTCCCCTTTCTTAGGTATGTGGGGACCCTATCGGAGATGGCCCATGTCTGTTCCTTTCCCATCCACCCAGGAGCTCTGTAACCATGGTACTCTGAGAGTGATTAGTTCCTCTCCCTTTCTCCTCCTCCTAATTCTGCTTGGCCCCTTGTAAGTGGGGGAGCAGGTGGTGGTCCGCTCCTTCCCCGTGGCTGCCCTGACCAAGGAGAAGCGCATCAGTGTCCAGACCCCTGTAGACCAGCTTCTGCAGGACGGGCTGCAGCTGCGGTCCTGCACATTCCAGGTGGGCAGGGACGGGCTGGCTTACCCCTTGAAGCTATTTTCCACCTGTGGCCCTTGCTCACAGGTCGTTCATGGGCTTACCAGGCTCTCAGCCTGGTAGCATCTGCCCATTGACACGCTGACTTTTGTGTCCTGGCTGCTTCCATGGGACGCTGGCTCTCGGAGTCCAGGCTTAGGTGTGCTTTCTGAGCTGAGATCTTGCCGTGCAGCAACTGACATTTGCACAGTTGACACACACATTGAACCCTAAGTTACGGGCTCAGGCCTCCCCTCAGGGTGTCTGCGTCTGTGGCTGGCGGCCACGAGAAGGGAGCCTGCGTACCGCGCTGCGTTAGGGTTAGGGAAGGGCTTGGTGGCCACTCAACTCTGAGGGCTGCTTTTTCTGACACAGCTGCTGAAAATGGCCTTTGACGAGGAGGTGGGGTCTGATAGTGCTGAGCTCTTCCGCAAGCAGCTGCACAAGCTTCGCTACCCACCAGATATCCGGGGCACCTTTGCGTTCACCCTGGGCTCCACCCATGTACCTGGCCGGCCACCCCGGCCTGCCAAAGACAAAGGCCCTTCTCTCAGGTATGGAGCTGCTCTTCAGGGCCAGGGGAGCCAGGCCTTCTGGGCCCCTGTGCCCAGGCGCTCACTTCCCCTTCTCTCACCTCTTCTGGCCCATCCTGTCCAGAACCTTGTCCCGGAACCTGGTAAAAAATGCCAAGAAGACCATTGGGCGGCAGTACGTTACCCGGAAGAAATACAACCCCCCCAGCTGGGAGCACCGGGGCCAGCCACCCCCTGAGGACCAGGAGGATGAGATCTCAGGTGGGAGCAGGGTCAGGGCCGGCCCTGCTTCGCGGAGGGCTGGAGGGTCTCTGCTTGATGATTGCATGTGTGTCCTGGACTGCAGTGTCTGAAGAACTGGACCCCAGCACGCTGACCCCATCCTCGGCCTTGAAGCCCTCAGACCGTATGACTATGAGCAGCCTGGTGGAGCGGGCATGTTGCCGTGACTACCAGCGCCTTGGATTGGGCACCCTGAGCAGCAGCCTTAGCCGAGCCAAGTCCGAGCCCTTCCGCATCTCCCCAGTCAACCGCATGTACGCCATCTGTCGCAGGTGAGGCCTGGCCAGGGCATGCCGGTGGCACTCAATCAGGGTTGGCCGGGGTGGTGGGCGGTGCTGGGGCACCGTCTCTGCTTGCCGTGGGCTTTGGCCATGACTCTTGGCCCAAGAAGGCACATGGGAAGAGGAAAAACAGAGGATGGGGCTTCAGGGCTTGGTAGAGCGCCTGGCTGAGCACAGGGGTGTGGAAAGTGTGCTTTTCTGCTTGGAGCCATGAACTTGCTCCTTTGTGTCCGCCCATTGGCTTCTCTTCCATTGTCTGTGTGAGGCTCCAAGACGGGCCTGAGACAAGGCCCTGGCAGCTTCCCTGACAAGGTCTCCAACCCCTGCAGCTACCCGGGTTTGCTGATCGTTCCCCAGAGCATCCAGGACAACGCCCTGCAGCGCGTGTCCCGCTGCTATCGCCAGAACCGCTTCCCTGTGGTCTGCTGGCGCAGCGGGCGCTCCAAGGCCGTGCTGCTGCGCTCCGGGGGCCTGCACGGCAAGGGCGTGGCGGGCCTCTTCAAGGCCCAGAGCGCGCCTTCTCCAGGTACCGACCTCAGTGCTGCCTGCTTCTGCCCACCCTGACTGCCCGTCCGCCCCCTTCCAGCTCCTTGTCCTCTTCCAGGCCAGTCCCAGGCAGACTCGGGCAGCTTGGAGCAGGAGAAGTACCTGCAGGCTGTGGTCAGCTCTATGCCCCGCTATGCTGATTCATCGGGACGAAACACACTCAGTGGCTTCTCCTCAGCTCACATGAGTAGTCACGGTGAGAGCACGTACAGATGGGAGGTGGGGCTGGGGCAGGGAGGAACTGGGGGTGGGGGGTGTTTATGGCCGGTAGGCTAGTGACTGCTAGTCGCCTTGGTCAGGAATATTGGAGTGTGAGATATGGAGAGGGACCTCTCTGGGTACCAAGACCAGGTGAGTGTCCCAAGCCCTCATCCGCTCTGACCACGAGCCCGTCTACCACCTCATCTTCCCTGAACTAGGGTAGCTGCTGGAGCCTCTAGGGTCTGCTAGATTGGCACCCACACGTGACTACGCTCTGAGAACATCCTTGGGCGCATCCACCTGTCCCCTGCCTAGTGCCACTTTGCTCTCTGCTTGGCCTCCATCCTCACTGGTCCTGGCTCTTTGGGGTCTTGTCTGTGTCGGTCTCTCTATTTCTATCATCCTCCCCTCCCCATCTCCGGTCCCCCCTTCCCAACGCACACACCGCCATGGCACCCGGCGCGTAGGACAGCCTCTGCCCCTGAGCTCAGATCTGTCTGTAGGGCCCTTGGTGCCTTGCCTGGGAGTTGCTGGGAGTTGGGAGAGATGCTTTCTGTCCTTATGAGGCCATCCGTCCCCCCCACCAGGTGTGGGGTCAGATGTGTGCTCTCCCCACGGGGTGGAGGCCTTCCCTTGGTGCCTGGCACTGACTCTGGCCCGTAGAATGTCTTCGTGGCTGGCTCCTGTGTTAGTGCTGTGGATGTGGCCTGCTTAGCAGCTACTGTCCAGCAGACAGAACAGACCCAGGGGCAGGTGACTAATTCTGGATGTTGAGCACTGAGAGACTTTCAGACGAGAGATGAGGCTTATCTTTCAAGCCATAGCAAGTGGGCACATGGGCAGTTGTGAGGGGCAGAGGGAGGGAACCCTCTCCTTGGGGATCTACTAGGTGGCAGCCTCTGTTTGTTATTGTTGATGTTGAAGTGCTGGGGTTTGAACTCAGCGCCTTTCACTTGCTGAGCATGTGCTCTACCATCAGCCATACCTTCATCTCACAGCTTCTTCCATCCCTTTGGCTTTCCTGACAGCTGACCCATTGGACACCCCAGTCTGGTCCTCTGTCCCCCAGGGCTCTGCTTGGTGTTCTTGCTCTCTGGCAGGTCCTTTCAGCACGGCTGGTAGAGGCTGCTTCCTGGAGGGTTGGTTTGTAGGCTGCACTCTGCACAGCAGGCCGTGTGTGATGCTTGGTGCCTTTCTCAGCCCCAGGCATTGCTTCCGCTTCACCACGGCCAGCCTGTCCCGGTTTGGGGATGAGTCCTCCTGGCCCAACCTGTGTACTCGGGTGGCTGTGTCACCTGTCACTTTCCATCCCCAGTCTTCCCTCAAGGTCATGGGCTGTGTTTTCCTCTGCCGGCTCAGCTTCTGGGAGCACAGTGTGTCTGTCAGTGGGGGCATCTCCCACGGACAGAGCCGTCCTGCAGCCTAAGTGTCCTTGAGTCTCACACCTGGCTTCTGTGTGCTGTCTGTCATCTGCGCTGCTGCCTTCCCCTCTGTCCCACCCAGGACACCGTGGCCAGGGCTTCCTCCCTGCATCTGTGGTAGTACTTTTTAGTCTGCCAGGAACTGGGGTCAAAGACCAGGGCATCAAGCGACGCTGTCTCTGACCGGACAGGTCAGATCGGCTCAGCCTCAGCTTCCATCAGGAGCATCTGCCTTCACTGTGGTTAAGTCTGGTTTGTGGTCGGCGCTTCCTTGCCTCCCACGCTGCCAGATTCTGAGAGGCGCCTGTGGGCAGCACCCTGAGCCCCCCCGCACCGTCCCCTTCCCTGCTCTCCCTGGGACATCTGCTACCTCCTCCAGCCCCGTGGATGCTCCCTCTTGTTGGCCAGGGTCTGGCTGCCCTCAGCTTTACTTCTGAGTTCATCTAGCATCCTTTTTTTTTTTTTTTTTTTTGCCAGTCCTGGGGTTTGAATTCAGGGCCTGGGCACTGTCCCTGAGCTTCTTTTGCTCAAAGCTAGCCACTTGAGCCACAGCGCCATTTCTGGCTTTTTCTGTGTATGTGGTACTGAGGAATCGAACCCAGGGCTTCATGCGTGCTAGGCAAACACTCTACCACTGAGCCACCTTCCCAGCCCCCATCCAGCATCTTAAATAGGCTGATGCTTTTCTCATTGTGAGCTGGTAGACTGTGCTATCAACAGTGTGAATGTCAGGGAAGGCACACTGGCGGCTGGCATTGCGCTGGGCCTTACCGGTGGATGGAGGCCATGCTGCACCTGTGTCTATGTGTGAGACTGAGGTGGGTTGATGCTGAGGCCGCTGTGTGACCCGAGCCCCTCAGAGCCCTTGCTGGCCAAGCCAAACAGCTAGGCCTCCCGACCACACTTGTCTCAGCCTAGAGCCTGTCTGGCATTGCTCCAGAGCTTAGATTTGCCTGTGTCCTGGACTGAACAGTGAGTCCCCGTCCTGCTGCCCCTCTTCTGGAGGCCTCCAGGCGGTTAGGCTCAGCTCTCAGGTCCCCTGCACCGTGTCCTGCCTATGGCACTGCCAGGTTTTGAGCACTTTAGACGAGGCCAGTCACAGTGGCCACGCTGACCGAGAGGGATCGTGCCCTTGAGGAGGGACTCAAGAACAGGGGTGTCCGGAGCTGTTGAGAGAGTCTCGACCTTCCCAGCATCGGGCCGCCGCAGCTCGGCCGCCTCTGTGGGAAGACCTCCCGCCTGGACCCCACGAGGCTCCTCCTCTCCCTGCTGGGACTCGGGACTTGGTGCCAACTCCTGCTGGTTCCGGGGCTCCTGGAGAGAAGGGCTTGGCGGGAACTTCTGGCAGCCAGGGGCTGGGGCCAGGTCTGAGCCTTCTCTTTGCTATGCCTCCAGTGCCCAGTCCCAGAGCCAGGGTCACCACGCTGTCCACCCCCATGGCGGCCTCGGCCTCCAGACGGACCGCGCCCCGAGGTACCGTAACCAGGGGCTCCTCCCTTGCCTGGCACCGATGGCCCCCAGCGTGAGCTGAGCCGTCTCGGGCGCTAATGTCTCCTTTCACACCTGGCACTAACTGTCCCGTTGTGACAGACAGCATAACTGGCCTGTCCCTCTAGCCCTGGTCACTCACCTGGCTAATACCCGAACCTTACCCCAGGCACTAACACCAGCCACCCCTGTAGCTCAGCATCTGTATGTTCCAGCCCTCCTCGCTCACCACACGTGGCTGGCTGCTCATTCTCCCCCTGGAGGCCAGGCCCAGCCAGCCCCAGGTAAGTGGTGAGCTGGCCCTGGCCCTCAGCTCACCTGGTCTCCTCCACAGGCAAGTGGGGCAGCGTCCGGGCCAGCGGCCACAGCGGTGGGCTTGGCGCTGACGTGGGCTCCCGGCTGGCTGGCAGAGATGTCCTGAGTCCCCCACAGGCCAACGGGGCCCCCCCCGACCCTGGCTTCCTGCGGCCCCACCGTGCAGCCCTCTATATCATTGGGGACAAAGCGCAGCTCAAGGTGACTGGGGAGGGGCAGGGGCCGGGGAGGGGTCGGGGTCTGGGGGCTGTGCACAGGGTCGGATGTGGCTCACGATGCTTGGTTGGCCGCTTCCCAGGGTGTGCGACCGGACCCCCTGCAGCAGTGGGAGCTGGTACCCATTGAGGTGTTTGAGGTCAGGCAGGTGAAGGCCAGCTTCAAGAAGCTGCTGAAGGCCTGCGTCCCTGGCTGCCCTGCTGCGGAGCCCGGCCCCATCTCCTTCCTGCGCTCACTGGAGGACTCCGAGTGGCTGACTCAGGTCTTTACAGCGCCCCTCCCGTCTGCCCAGCAGGTCACAAGCCTACCATAAGTAGAGCCGAGTGTCAGGGCTCCGGCTTCCAGTGCTTCCACAGCGGGGCGTGTGCCTGGGACTGGACAGGCCATCGATGATGGGGGTGTCTGGGGAAGCCTGTTGATTTTGGAGGAGCTGCTAACCTGCACTGCTTGGTCTAATTTGGGGCGTAGGGCTGAGCATCACGTCGCTAGTGTCTTGTGCATGCTGGAGGGCTCAGAGATGAGACTGACTGCTGGGTACCTCAAGGACAGGGACTTGTGTTGAATCTTCTTCCCAGTCCTGGGGGACCTGGGTGTGTTGTGGGGGTGCTGTGGTGAACTGGCTGGGGAAAACGGTGACCAGCGTGACCACCACAGCAGTGTGTCCTGACGTTGTGCTCACCCGTGTCTGGGGACGCTGCCAGGCGTGTGTGGGCACCGTGGACCCCGGCAGGGTGGGGTCTGAGGACTGCCCGCCCCTACAGATCCATAAGCTGCTGCAGATATCGGTGCTGGTGGTGGAGCTTCTGGACTCAGGCTCCTCCGTCCTGGTGAGCCTTGAGGATGGCTGGGACATCACCACGCAGGTGTGTGGCGGAGGCGGGGACGGGCTGGGCCAGGGCCCCTGGGGCCTTCCTGACCACCCGTGGTGCTGGCAGGTGGTGTCCTTGGTGCAGCTGCTCTCAGACCCCTTCTACCGCACCCTGGAGGGCTTCCGCCTGCTGGTGGAGAAGGAGTGGTTGTCCTTCGGCCACCGCTTCAGCCATCGTGGGGCCCACACCCTGGCGGGCCAGAGCAGCGGCTTCACACCCGTGTTCCTGCAGTTCCTGGACTGTGTACACCAGGTGCGCGAGGGGCCCTGTGGGCAGAAGTGGGTTGAACTTCCTAACCTGACCTCTGACTCTTGGGCCGGTCACGCGCAGGTCCATCTACAGTTCCCCATGGAGTTTGAGTTCAGCCAGTTCTACCTCAAGTTCCTCGGTTACCACCATGCATCCCGCCGTTTCCGGACCTTCCTGCTGGACTCTGACTACGAGCGCATTGAGCTGGGTATGTGGGTATGTGGGTGGGGGAGTTGGGTGCCGGCCTCGGTAGTTGTCTGGAGGGGAGAGGCTCAAAGTGACCCTGTACAGGGCTGCTCTACGAGGAGAAGGGTGAGCGCAGGGCCCAGCCGGCATGCCGGTCTGTGTGGGAGTACGTGGACCGGCTGAGCAAGAGGACCCCCGTGTTCTATAACTACACGTACGCTCCCGAGGACACCGAGGTGAGTGGGGCCTGGTGGGGGCCAGCGGCTCCCGCCCGGCCCAGCTTCTCAACGCCAGGCTCACCCCCAGGTCCTGCGGCCCTACAGCAACGTGTCAAACCTGAAGGTGTGGGATTTCTACACGGAGGAGACGCTGGCCGAGGGCCCCCCCTACGACTGGGAGCTGGCGCAGGGGCCGCCTGAGCCCCCGGAGGAGGAGCGGCCCGACGGAGGCGCCCCCCAGAGCAGGAGGCGCGTGGTGTGGCCGTGCTGCGACAGCCGCCCGCGGGTTCAGCCAGACGCCATCTCACGCCTGCTCGAGGTGCGCGCTTGGAGCGTGGGCGGGCCCGGCCCAGCCCGGCCTGGCCTGCTTGGTCAGACATGAGGGCTGGGCCTAGCCTGCGTGGGTGTGTGTGCACGTGTGCACGCGTATACGCATTTGTGCCACTCGGCTTCCCTTGGGCTGGGCCTGGCCTGTCCTGCTTTGTTCAGACACCAGGGCTGGGCCTAGCCTGCATGGGTGTGTGTGCATCCGCATATGCATATGTGCCAGGCTGGTCCCCTTGGGCTGGACCGGCCTGTCCTGCTTTGTCAGACATGAGGGTTGGGCCTAGTGTGCATGGGTGTGTGTGCACGTGTGTACACGTATGTGCCAGTCTGTTCCCCTTGGGCTGGACCGGCCCTGCCTTTGCTCCACCAGTGACCTGCCTGCCATCCCGGGCACCTGTGCTGTCCATGTCCCCACCCCTGCTTGGTGCATGCCTGCAGGTAGTAGTAAGGACACTTGTCACAAGCCCCACATCTCGTGATTGTGAGGGCTGGCTCAGGGTGTGTGTGTGCTTTCCCTAACCCTGTGTCTTAGTCTCTGTCACCGTGCTGAAGCACTGGAGATAGGCTAACTTGTAAAGTGAAGAGGTTTACTTAGCTGAGTTCTCGGTTTTGGTGAAGCCTCTGTGCTCTGTCACTTGGTGGCAGATGGCGATGATGGCAAAACCACATGCAGGACCAAGGAGCACATTCAGGAGTCGGAGGGCTTGGTGAGCTTCCTCCTGTAATGCCCTCTCAGAACTGTCTCAGAGCTCCCAAGAGAGCACTTTCCTGTAGCCTCGAGCCCTCCTGTGTGGCCTTGTCTCTCGGAAGTTCCATCATTTCCCAAGTCCACAACTCCACACTGCCTCTGGGGGGCAAATCACATCCGCACTGCTGTGTAATAACTGGCTTTGTGTGGCCAGGAGGTACCCAGGAGCCAGGGTTTTTCTAGCAACATTCCCCTACTCTGCCAGGCTATCTACCTTTCTTGTCCTAAACAAGCAGCAGCTCTTCTGATTCTTGTCCTGGAAGCTTGGAGGTGGATGTATGTTGTTGTTGCTCCTCACTCTGCCATCCCTGGTGGGAGACCTCAACATCAAGAATCAGGTTGGAGTAAGAGCTGGGTGTCAAGAACCAGGTGCCGGTGGCTCACGCCTGTAATCTAGCTAATCAGGAGGCTGAGGTCTGAGGATCACAGTTTGAAGCCAGCCCAAGCTGGAAAGACCATGAGAGAGATTCTTATCTCCAATCAATTGCCAAAAAAGCCAAAGTGGCGCTGTGGGTCAAGTGGTAGAGCGCTAGCCTTGAGCACAAAAGCTCAGGGACAGGACCCAGGCCCAGAGTTCAAGCTCCAGGACTAGCAAAAAAACAAAAAGGAAAAGAGACATTTTGAGCCCACTGAGCTGGTTGGTAACAGGGTTGCTGGAGTGTGGGGTTGGACACACGGAGGACAGCATTTCCTGCCTGTGGTGGGCCTGCGCCAGGGACTGAGTGGCCAGAAGACTGGGGCCTAGACCCTGACTTCTCCAGGGGCCTTGAAAGTTGCCCTGAACATTTTAGAATCTGTTTCTTCTTGCAGAACGTTGATTTATAGCTCCCAGGTAGGTGGTAGATACAAATGAGTATAGAAATACAGAATACGCACTATAGAGAGAAGCAAATATTTGGTGACTGCATATGGAGTCTGACCCAACAGGGCCTGTTCCCCAGGCACATGGGGTCGTAATTTACGAATGAAGGCGGCCTGCAGGCTGGTCACCCTGAACACTTTAGATGGCATTAGATTGTTCTCTGGCTTTCACTGCTGACTAGAAGCTGGTACTTTTTACACCTTTATGAATTAATGCCTTTTTTTCTCTTCACCTTTAAAGTTTTCATCTTTGGTTTCAGCAATTTGGTACACACACACACACACACACACAGCAATTTGGTACACACACAGCAATTTGGTACACACACACACAGCAATTTGGTACACGCACGCACACACACACCCCTTTGAACCGGACTCTGAAGCTCCTTAGATTTTTTAGATCTGTGGGATGACCACTTCATTTAATTTCCATTAAATTTAATAACATTTTAGACTACCACTGATTTTTAATTTTGTTTTCTACCCAGGTACTGTTTCCTTTTTTCCCCCTGTAATCTCTTTATGCTGCAATATATTTTTGATTATTTCTATTTTTCTATTATTGCTTCTCCCCCCTCCTTTTTTTGTGGGGAGGATCGTTTCTAATTGTTTTTATTGAGGATCTGTACCAAAGGCTGGGGACTTCTGGGAGGGTGGCAGGAAACATGTTCGTAGCTCCTGGTGGGCTCACATTCCATAGCTCCCATGTAGCATAGCAGCTCCTCAGAGAGTGGAGAGGGTAGGAGGTCAGCAGACTGGGAGGGCATTGTCCTTCTGTCCATACCGCAGGGTCCCAAGCAGGGCTTCTCTGTAAGGACTGGCTACGAGTTCTCTCCTGATTTGCCTAAACATTTTTTTAGCTCTTCTTTGTGACCCTCTGATTGAGACACTGTAACTTTTCTTGACATTACACAGTTCCTCTTCTTCACTCTGAGATACATTTCACAAGAAATTTCCTTTTTTTTTTTTTGGTGCTGTTTGAATTTGGAGCTTGGATACTGTCCCTGAGCTTTTCTGCTCAAGGCTAATGTTCTACCTCTTGAGCCACAGCTCCACTTCCAGCACTTTTGGTAATTTAGTGAAGATAGGAATCTCCAGCCAGCCCAGGCTTACTTCAAACCATGATCCCCAGGTCTCATCCTTCTGAGGATTACAGGCGTGAACCACCAGCATCTAGCCTTTAGATGTTATCATCCTTATCCTTGTTTTGGAAAAGTGTTACTCATATTGTCTGTATATATTCATATGTTTTCTTTTTCCTTTGTTGGGGGGATGGGGTGGGGGTGTTGCTGGTCTTGGGTCTTGAACTCAGGACCTGGACAGTATCCCTGAGCTTCTTTTGCTCAAGGTTGGCACTCTACCACTTGAGCCACAGCACCACTTCTGTCCTTTTCTGTGTATGTGATACTGAGGAATAGAACCCAGGGCTTTGTGTGTGCTGGCAAGCACTCTACCCCTGAGCCACCTTCCCAGCCCTGAATAGTTGTTTACTCTTTCTCCCCAGGAGCTTCAGCGGCTGGAAACAGAGCTAGGCCGACCTCCTGAGCGCTGGAAGGACACCTGGGACCGGGTGAAGGCTGCTCAGCGCCTTGAAGGCCGGCCAGATGGACGTGTAAGCTGGGATGGGAGCTGGACTTGGGGACTGAGCGCGTTGCCAGGAGAAGGCCGGGATTATCCGTGGTCGGTCGATAGACTGTCTGTCTATAAACCATCCTCTGCTGCCCCAGGGCGCTCCCAGCTCCCTACTGGTGTCCAGTGTGCCCCACCATCGCCGCTCGCTGGGCGTGTACCTACAGGAGGGGCCTGTGGGCTCCACCCTGAGCCTCAGCTTGGACAGTGACCAGAGTAGTGGCTCCACCACATCTAGCTCCCGTCAGGCTGCTCGCCGAAGCACCAGCACGCTGTATAGCCAGTTCCAGACAGCAGAAAGTGAGAACAGGTTTGTGGGGGCCTCCTGCCTCGACCTCTGGGGTTGATTTCTCAGATTCAGGGGGTAGGTGCCTTTGGAGAGTCCTGTGGGGGGGATCATGACAAGTTGCCCCATATTGGAAAGGGCTTGGGGTATGGGCCCTCTGCGGACAGCAGGACCGAGGGCAGTGCTGTGGGAACCCATGTGGCTGGTGGCCGGTAAGGCTCCGTGTACAACAGGGTCCAGCCCACAGTGAGCCTCGTAGCGATCATGTAGCTGCTAAGCTGCCCCCACACACCTGTTTGCCGAGTGCTCCTCTTTCAGAGCACCCGCCCCGTGTGTCGGCTACTTCCCTGACCCACAGCTCTGGTTTTCGGAGTCCATTATGATGGGGATGGGGGGGACCCTTCATGTCTTTTTTGGAGACAGTCCCTTCCTGACGGCTGGCCCGGCCCTGGTTCTGGTGCACATGCAGGTCCTATGAGGGCACCTTGTATAAGAAGGGGGCCTTCATGAAGCCCTGGAAGGCCCGCTGGTTTGTGCTTGACAAGACCAAGCACCAGGTGAGTGGTGGTGGCTGGGGGGGGACTCTCAGGGTTCGGGCCTGCCCTGACCCGCCCCGTCCCCACCCCAGCTGCGTTACTACGACCACCGGGTGGATACCGAGTGCAAAGGTGTGATTGACCTGGCAGAGGTGGAGGCCGTGGCTCCCGGTACCCCCACCATGGGTGCCCCCAAGACTGTGGACGAGAAAGCCTTCTTCGATGTGAGCCTTTTGCCGGGGCACAGGAGGTGAGGGAGGGGCCTGCAGCGTGGGGGCTGTGGAGTCAGTAATGCACTCTTCCCAGGTAAAGACAACACGTCGAGTTTACAACTTCTGTGCCCAGGATGTGCCCTCGGCCCAGCAGTGGGTGGACCGGATCCAGAGCTGCTTGTCAGATGCCTGACCCCCCCCAGCCTGCCCAGGCTGCTCTGCTTCCAGTCGCCACAGACCACTTGGGGTGGGCAGGGCCGCCCCGGCCATGTTTACAGCCCCGGCCCTCGACAGTATTGAGGCCCTGAGCCCCCAGCACTTGCGTGTATAGCCCCTGCCCTGCCTGGCCAGCTCTAACTTATTGTTGTCATGGCTGAGCGCCAAGCTGGGATGCGGCCATGGTACAGCCCTGTGATGGGCCTGTAAATAGTTCGTCCTGCCCGTCGGTGTGCTAGCCCCGGCTGGCTGGCCGCGGTGAGCTGTTTCTAGAACCAGAATCTATATAAAGAGAGAACTAACGACACCTCCTGTGTCTGCTCCACTTAAATACCTAGCTCAGGCCTCCCGGCCCCAGCCCTGGGTCTGCCTCGTGTATCTTTGATGGTATGAGAACAGCTTCGCTGCAGGGGGGAACTTCATCAAGGTGTGCAGGTACAGGACCCCTGACCCTGCCCTGCCTCTCTTCCCAGTGTCGGGGAAGCTCCAGGTGAAGTAGGGGAGCTGTCTGGGCCTAGAGGCCAATCCAGAAGGGGAAGGCAGTAGGGGCCATGTGGGATGAGAGTAAGTTCCCAGGGAGAAGAAGGTCCTCAAGGCAACTGAGATGGTGAAATGTGGCCAAACAGGGGGTGATGCCTTAACACCTCCCTCCCCTCCCTTCCCTGGGGTCCCCATAGAAGTCCCTGAGCATCCCGTGTTCTGCTGCTGAGTTCCTCTCACGCTTTCCTTTTCCATGGGCCAGCAAGTCCCACCTGGACCAGGGTTTTACCTGCTTGGCTGAGGCAAAAATGGGCGGAGGGCAGAGGGGTATGGGTGCTACTCTGAGGATGTCTCAGAGTGACCACTGATGCTGCGTGGCGCCCTGACCAAAGGGCTGGTGGCTTCGGGGCCATCCTCGAGGTGGGTTGAAGTAGCACAACTGAAAACAGTGCCTGGGCCCCTTTCGGGGACTGTGTGTTTTGTTTATAAGGTTTTTACTTGTTAAGACAGAAAACTCAGTATCTTCTGTGATGTAGAGACCCACTGCTGATTCCTTGTGATCCAAGGTTGGGCCTAAAAAAGGTGCTGGAGGAGACACCCCATCCTCAACAGATTGGAGCTGTGCTCTCAGTTGAACAATACACAGTTCATAAGAATGATACAACTTTTATTGGGGATTGGAGGAGGTGCCCTGTCGCGGATGTCAGAACATGAAAAGAGAACTCAGTGTAGGCAGAGTAGTCTTCCAGACCCTTCTCGGACAACCTGGGCTCTCTCAGTCTCTGATCCGCTCAGTATCCTGAGCTGCTCCTGCGGGTCCTCCTAACTACCCACCCAGCTGCCACCAGTCTGCCCTGTTCACAAGCTCAGAGACACCACACCCCTTGCAGGCCCCATCTCGTTAAGGCAGTCAAAACTTGCCACCTGGTTCAGTGCTAGTCTTCATGGCCATCAGGTATAATGCTGAGTTTTGACCCCATGTGGCCAAACCAGCTCCTAAGTCATGTGCGTTTGTGGGGTCATGTCTCCTTAGCCCAGACCCTCACTTTTGCCCTGAGTCAGGGAAGCCCCTGTGCAGTCTCTGGATACAAAGTGCAAAAACTTGCTTCTCCTGCATGTGATTAAAAAAAAAAAATAGTGAAAAGCGCCTCAGCCTCTGCACGCTTCCAGCCCATCACGTCATACGTCCTGTTGAGATCTGAGTCCCTGATCCCCACCCCTGCAGGAAGAGGTTGCACATTGGGGACCTTATTGCTGTGCAGGGTCTGCCCGGGGGACTGGCGAGGCGTGTCCTCTGCCTCCAGCAGGGCCTGAGTGGCTCAGGTTGGGCAGGAGAGAGACAGCTGGGTCATCTGTCTGGTTCCAACTGCCAGCTTTACCAATGCAGCATTTATTTTAAAATTAAACTTTTAAGAAAGGAAACTGATTGCGTCACCAGGTCGTTCTGATGCAGCAGGGTGCTGCCTGACCGGGGTGGGCCGTGGCTGGGTGGCAGCAGCGTTACACAGGACCATTTAAGGCAGCTCCTTCTGGTGGGTCATCTGTCTTTCTGCAGAAACCGGGGCAGGGTTGGAGGCCCTTGGCCCTTGGGCCCCTCCAGCCTCCTGCCCCTCCCCCGCCAACTTGCTCACCTGTCCTTTGTCACTGTCCCCACAGAGGCTGGGCCTGCGGGGGCTGTGGCAGCCAGTGCAGAGGAAACGGCTTTGGGAGGGCCTGTCTTGCTCAGCATAGTGGCAGCCACGGTGCCCTCGGGAGGCACGGTCATGGCTGGAGCGGCGGTCACTTGGGCGGGTGCAGGGCGGGCGGGCTCTGGCGGCATGCTGTCAGCACACTTGGCCCTGTGTGGTAGACAAGGGCTCTGGTCACGGGCACCCCACCCTCCTCGGTGCTGCCCAACTTCCTGTACTCCAGGACCGGCAGAGTGGCCCCATCTACAAGGCTGCCGGGGAGCACTGCACTCTGCCCCTCCATTCCTGCACTCTGGGGTGGCCCAAGACAAGCTGTCCGCCCACCATGAACGCTACCCTTCCTCCAAGCAGCCCTCAGGCCCTGGTACCAGGGAAGCAGTTCCCTATGGGGACTCGGAGGAACTCTGGCTTCAACTCCTGCCTTACACTAGCCACTCGGAGACCTGAGAGGAAGGGGTTCTGCTGGGCGCTGGGGGTGGTCTTCCTCAGGGCCCTAAGGCCAGCCTAGGAAGAAGGGTGCCCAGGAGGGGCCAGGGCAAGTGAGTTTCCTCACAGGCTGGTTGGGACCTATCCATGGTACAGCCAAGCGGCAGGTGCAGTGCCATGTTCCTTTGCATACAGCAAGGATAAACAGTTTTCTTTTGAAGCACTTAGGAGAAAAGAGGAAAAACAAGTTGCCAGCATCAGTTACAGTGTGGGACCCTCTTCAGGCCTTGGCCCCACGAGGGCAAGGTGGCTGGTGAAGAGGGTCCTAGAACATGCACCCCAAGGCTGCAAGCTGTTTGTACTGCCCAGCCAGGGTAGTCCTGAGATGAGACTCACTTTCGGAGTGTGCTGGACACCTGAATGTAGCCAGCACACATCTCCCACAAGGGAGCAGCAGGCCAGTCTGGCCAATGTCAAGTAAAAGGCTGCCCCTCACCCACAGCACCATCTAGTTTCTGGGAGGCTCGGAGGCCTGGAGCCCTGTCTGGTGCTTTGTAATCAGGCCTGTGTGTGGAGGCTCTCCAGATCTCCTGTTGGGATCCTGGAACATTCAGGCCCTATTGGCTGAACCACTCAGAGACCAAACAGGCTCTGTGTCGTCAAGAAGCTTCCCATCTTGTTTTTAAGGCAGTCAGAATTTGCCGGCTGGTTCAGTGCTAGTCCTCATGGCCACCAGGTATAATGCTGAGTTTTGACCCCACGTGGCCAAACCAGCTCCTTAGTCACGTGCACTTTTGCCTTGTGCAGTCTGGATGCATGAAGCTCCCACAGCCATCAAGAGAGTGGTGAGGGAGCGCAGCCTGGCCTCTGCTTGCTCCCAGCAGATCTGAGAATGAGTGACTTGAGCCTAGATCTGCCAGAGGCCCGCAGCCCCCAGCCTGGAGCTACACTGTGTATACGGGGGCCCTAGACAAACGTGCCATCCCCTGTGCACCTGCCAATAGTAGCTTCCTCTTTCCTGGGCAGCTTGGGGACTTCCAGACCATGGCTGGTGTTCACAGCGTCCACACTGCCAGCTACCTTCTCATCCTCCTCGCTGTCAGAGCCCCCGGAGGAGCTGCTGTCAGAGGCCACCAGGGGGGCCTTCCTGGTGACACACACACTCCAAGCGCACGGTGAGGTGGGACCGACTGCAAGACAAGGAGGCCTGTGATGTGCTTGAGGCAGAGAGCCACCGCACAGCCACCATGGCTTCAGGCCCCCAAGCCCCGGAGTGCTGACATGCAGCCAGCTGGAAATCACACAGCCTGCCAAGTGTCACTTGTACACAAGTGTACCTGGGTGTTCTTAGGAACCACATTAACTTCTATTCACCCACTCCCCACTGGACAGAACAGATATGTGCTGTTAGCAGAAGAGGCAGCTCAGAGGGCTCCTCCCATTTGCTTCAAGCCTGGCACCAGGGAAGGATGTGCGGGTGGTGCTACCGCTCTGTCCTGCCGCTGCCTAGGACTCTCGTGCCTGGTCTTGGGGGCCTTTGAGCCCCTCGGACTGGAAAGGTGGGGAACAAGGCCATGGGCTTGGATCAGACCCCGTATTGGCTTCCTGCCTGAGACTCATGAGTTTTTCCATATCGAGACCCCAAACCCTGCTAGGACACCTACCAGGGACCTGGGCCACACAGCAAGGCCAAAGCTGCCTCCACAGGCAGCCCCGTGGTGGCGCTGCTCCTCCTCGGTCCCCAAGCCAGGGGCACTGCATCTGTACACAGCAGCCACCCCTAAGCACATGTGAACCCTAGTACCACAAGGAAACCATTACACCTGGAGCACTGCCACTGCTTCCCACTGCCCCAAGGGCCTAAGAACTAGGCAAGGTCAAGTCACCTGAAGGAGCCTGGGGGTAGCATGCACCACAGCTACTCACAGGCTTTCCCTGGGCCTGCACTCTGGCTGCCCTCGGTGTGGCTGCTGTCCATGTCCACGGGGGAGCTGCACCTAGGCCCAGACTCAGAGCTGCAGGCGAAGATGGAGACAGGCTGAGTGTGTGGGGTTAGTTACCCCAACCCCAACGGGGAATGCTTCGTGAACCCTGTGTGCCGATGTGCTTTGTTACCAGCAGAAAGGCTGAAAGTCGGAGAACTTGGCCCAGCCTTTCTCTTCCGGAGCCGAGGGGCTGGCTGCCCACACACTAGAACCCACGTCCCTGGCGGCTGCTGGGGTTGTGGGCGTTGCATTCGCCAGCTCATCAAACACTGCAGTCCAGGCAGCCCCTGCTGGGGAGAAAGAGCTGTCAAGAGTGGGCAGGCCTGGCCTGGCCACTCCTCAGCCCCCAAGGAGACCCAGATGAACCCTCCCTGCCTGAGCCGGCAGAGCTCCCCAGAGGAGCTCTGTAAGAGAGTGGTGGCGGCCCCCAGGCCCTAACACCTTGGGTGGTGGAGGCTTCAACATCTACAAGGCATGTAGAAGTAACCATGTGCTGCTGGTGTGGTGCTCGGCAGGCACCCACGGGGCTTCACCTGGCCTCTAGTGGAGCTGGCGGCGCAGAGGAGACATAGCCCCACCTGTCCTGCCCCAACTGTCCCAGTGAAGGCCCGAGAACAAGCCCCACAGCCCCTGTGCCCGGCCGTGAGCGTGGTCTGTCCCTGTTGTGGATGTCCTTGCTGCTGGCCTTGCAGCTCCTGCTCTTGTCCCCTCCCAGTGGAAAGCTGCCCTCTTGCCCATGTGCTGACCACTTCAGGACTACCTCAGGCAGAGGCGGGAAAAGGGTCCTGAAAGGTGGCGTGTCTGGTGTGCACAGTGCTGCTGAGCAATGCTCAATGGCCCGCACAGCATCTAGATGAGTGTCTGGGAGACACCACTCACACAGACCAGGCTGCCAGTGACCATAATAGAAGGGGAAATGCAGGAGCCCTCCTGGATGTGGGCAAACTGCAGGGCAGGACCCACCCACATCAGCTCAAGACAGCCAGGAAAGCGACTGCCTTCGAGAGCGTGTATAATGGGCTGGGTTGGGGGGCAGGTGCAGATGGGGCTGCTGACCGCAGGCCACAAGCAGCAAGAGATGCCTTGGCTCCGGATGAAGCTGAGGCGGGCACCGTGCCTGCTCAAAGCCCTGTGTTCTCTGTGGGTCCCCAGCGCGTCACTGTGGATTACCTTCTGACACGGGACCTTCGCTCTGCACAGAAGCCAGAGGGGTGCCCACCCCAGGTGCATTCCTGGCTGCCTCCGAGCTGGCTTTCTTGTCCTGACCATTCCTTGAGTCGTTTTCTGGAGCATGGGGACCTCCGAACCTATGGAGGGTCCAGAGGCACGGTTGGATGGCTGGTGGCCTACGAGGACCACCCAACACTGGAGTGCTGGTGTCGGCCCATGGCTAAGGGCCGGGCGAGCGCAGGGTGCCCAGCGGGAGGTTCAGTTCTGAGCCTCTCGTCTGACCATTAGGACCTCTGGGACCTAATGCGCGTGAGAGTGGCTGGGTGTCCTGTGGGTGCTTTCGCACATGCAAATCTCCAGTGGAGGCTTGGAGAGGATGGAGAGGCCCCTGTACCTGGCTCTGGCCACCCCCCGAGCAGTGCAACGAGTCTCCTCATCTTCCCAGATATCCTCTTCCTCCTCATCGTCAAAGGGCTGAATTCTGTCACTGCAGCAGGCTTCAAACAGAGCTGCACTGGGCTGCAAGACAGAGAACACAGAGTCAATTTCTGGAGAGCCTGGCGAAGCCTTGGACCTGGAGTACTAGAGGAATTCGCTCACTGCCTGGAGGGCAGGATGGGAGGAAGCAATGAGGCAACTCTGCTTCCAGCTACATGAAGGGCCCTGCAGTTCAAACACACGCAGACTACTGAGTAGAGTCCCCCATGGCCCATCCACCTCCAACAAGGGCCAGACTGTGAGCAAAATCTGAGATACCTGGGCAAGGGGCATAAAGGGACACCTTCTTCTATAGTCCCAGACACAGCCCTGATCACTCACACTGTCCTCATCGGCATCAATGTTGAAGTTGATCTCTGCAATCCGAT